TAATTGACTGGCGTACCGGCTATCGGTGCGAAGATGCCTTTTTTTCACGGTTCCCCAGCAAGTTTTTGTTGCTAACTGCACTCTTTTTTCTCCGGCAGATGCTTCTAACTAAAAGAATTGAAACTGGTCGCTACGAATGTCAGAAATTATTACAGTAACTCCCAGTTCCTACTCAAAAAATTCAACACTTTAGGTGGTTCGGTTGCGAAATTGCGTCATATTCACGTGTTCGTACGTAAAAGGGACGTTAATGCTTTTTCACGCGTGTCTGCTCAAGTACGGGCCTGGGCCACGTTCAGAAAATCTCATCATTCTAACTATTCTGGTTGCACAGTTGAGCCTAATTTCGCGTGTTCGTACATTAGACATGCATGGAACGCGAAAGTTGCTTTCACATTCACCTGGTCAAAGGCCGTCGCCACTCTCAGAAAGTTTTAGCCTTCTAGCTGTTTCAATTTCAAAGTTACAGAACCGTCTGTGAAATTTTCACGTGTCCGTATGTAAGATGCGGAGGGGCTGGAAAGTTCAATTTACTTCCACGAGCACATCAGTTTGCAACAAGCAAGACTGCAAAATTATAGCTCTCTACAACTTCCTGGTCAGTTTAAATCAAGGGTTGGCACGAGTTTAAGTTTTGACGTGTATGTACGTGAGACCTAGGGGTGCGTGAAGGATGAATTTGAAAACTTTGGGTTGCACTCGGCCATGGAACGCAGACCTGCCCAAAAGGCGCGTAGGATATTGGGGCTTTATATCTCTTAACTTGCTGTTATGGTCCACGCTGGATTGTAAAAGGCATATTTTGTGCTTTAGCCTACTGATCTGCTTGATTTCCATTCTAATACCAACCGCTTCTGAGGCCGACTTTGGTTCATATCACGCAAAATTTGCTGGGCAAAATGCGGCATCTGTTTTGTCGACGTGCTTGGAGCTACCAGGGTTTTGTATCTCGTGTATTAACCATTCTGAATCGTTGCCACTCACACATCATGAAAAGATGTTTCGGTCGGAATTTGAGAGAATCGAAAGATAGATCCTACGTTCTCCTAATTTTAGTTGTATGGCCACGTTTCTCACTGCCATTTCACGGTAACAGTACAATTAATGTGCACAGAGGTAATATCAACAGTCTTGAAACAATTGGTGTTTTACCGTGCGATCGATACAGTGTACATTCGAATCATCACAGACATTCTTATCGAATCGTTCACGGAAATCACTCATTCTTACGAGTCTATAATCACTGGCAACGCGCACCAGCTGGTCCGGCGCAATTATACGTTTTTTGCAGTATTTCATGCTTTGGTAAGATCACTTGGAATCACAGCATCTGGAGTTTGTAGCTTACTAGTTCTCGAAGTTCAGGCAGTTAATTGTATGGCTACGTGGCGCGTCAGTTGTCGATGTCGGCTTCAGTAATTTGACAGACCAGAAGTTGCTGGTGCTCGAAAGATATCTCACGAAGTGCATCAATCACTCCTTTCGAACACTGCCTTTGCTACAGTGAAAAGTCGCCAGTAATATGTGAGCAATGGTAATGCAAATTTGCGTCATAATGGGAATCACAGCTCATATGCATAGTGTGATGTGAAGTGCAAGTACCCAAAGTGAAGTTTGTCCTGCTAGCTGAATTCTATAGCTTAAACATGTTCAGCATATCTGCGAAGAAATGGCATAAACGAAGACTAATTTTACACATTTGGGACCACAGTGAGACGAATGCTATTACGCAAAAATTCGTCATCCTAGCAAACGTTTAGAGGAAAAGATTGCCCACAGCACGTAACATCTAATGTATCCAAGCTAATGTTCAAATGCGTTAATGTATCCATGTCTTGACACGGAACGCAGCTTTATGCATAAGGATTCGCACTCGAACAATGGATATCTTCATAAAACTACATCTGCCCACATAGTCTGATTTTCCAGTTAAATGAATGCCAGTCTGTGCTCCAGCTATGTGTCACCTGCTAATACGCGAGATTTAGACTTCTGTGAAAGATTAACTGCAAATGTTGCAATCACGCATTGTCCCACCCCCAGAAAATTTCAGATTCCCAGCTCAGCTAGCTCTCGAAATCACTTCCCCCAAAAATGTCTTGATACGCTCGTATGCCTAATATGGGTGCATGCGAGTGCTCATTTTATGCCTAAAGTCTCACACATAGACAGCAAATATTCCCGTAAAACTAGAGGAACATACTCTGCCTAGTTGCCGAGTTGGCGTTTTGCCGGCGATTTCGACTTTTGACCTGCCTGTATACATGACGTACGCGTACGCTTGAGTTGAATTTAAAATCTTTAGTTTAAGTGAGGGCTCGGAAAAGTTTCAGCTGAATCAAAATCTCTTCGGCTCATACACATCGACATGAGACTTTCTACTTCACTATTTCTCACCCGGGAAATGCTTTTACAGACCTCAATTTTCGTTCAGTTTTTCGTGATACCACTGCAAGACGTTTATTCCCCACACATCCCCTCACTCGTGTCATTGTCAGTTTCAAGTTCTAAAGCTCCATAATTTGCCGCATTATGAACTATGCCACGTTTCTTAGACGTCTCAATGATAGACCCTCGCTAACCTTTTGTCTTCACATTTAGCTTTCCTCTATGAGCCTGCCGTGATTGTGATCAGTGTAACAGATAACTTAGAAGTTACCCGTAACCGACAACTAAGGGATGTAATGAAGAAGGGAACCAGGCTCAGGACGATGCTGAACAAAGCTATGGACGAGGTTTTAACCGATATGCCTGACTTCTTAGATATCTTCACCTCAGCAATGGCAAGGCGTACTGGTACCTCGGTTCCTGAATTTGATAACTTCAAGCGTAGAATACTAACTACGGCATGGTGGCGAACCATTTACCGTCGCTGTCCTTCCCTTTAATTCATTACTGGCTTTGAACGAGCCTTGCGCGAGATGCACAGACAATTTATCATAACATATTGACAAGGCCTCAAACAACTATATAGTAATGTACAAAAAGTATTATGCTTCGTTGCACTGCAAAGAGCTCTGTTCCAGCAGTCTCGATCGAATTCATGGTAACGGTCTCTGTCCAACAACCGGTCCTCAGTCACCAAAAAATTCTTGAG